TCTCTCTCTCTCTCAAATAAATAAATAAATAAATAAAATTTAAAAAAAATAAAAATAAAAAGTATGGTTACATAGCTTCCAGTAGGCACTACTAGTAAAATCTTAAAAATGTAAAAGCAATGTAACCTATACAGTTAAAAAGTATTGCTATTTTTACAAAAATGATATTAATAAATTCTAAGCTTACCCCAGAGTAAAGGACCACAAAACACAAGAATTTGAGGTTAGAAATACAAATTTTTGGCCAATTAGCTTTCTGACTATAATAAGAGACAAAAGATACACATTGGCTGAAATGAATTATAATTAATTTCCTTAAACACTTTGAAAACAAAAGTACGTATGAAGCAGTGAAGCCTCTCCACGTGCAAAAGGTCTGGGCCTCCAGCTTCCCTCCCCTTCCTCCTGCCGGGTAACCCTGGGTAAGTGTCACTACTACCAGAGAAGGCACTGTGAACATAGTTTCTTTTTCTTTTTTGAACATAGTTTCAAGTAAGACCTGTCATCTCTTCTCAAAAAGCCTACCAGGCCCATCCTGGGCAGTCAGCACCACACCACAGACAGTGCTTTCCTGCCTTGAACCTCCTGTCTCTACACTCACACGTGAACTACACACTGACCTTCACCTTCAGGCCCTGGGTTGTCTTGAAGGAGCTATTGAGTGAAAAGGGAGGAGGACAGCTGCCTCCAAAAATCAGCTGCTGAAATCCAGTACACAAAGCCTCCCTTGGGGACTTAACTCAGCTTGCATCTCAGCTCTAAATCTACAGGCTGATGACTGAAGCACAGTAGCTTAAAAATACCAACAGGATAGAAATTCATTAACAAGTCCTGCCACCAGGGGGCGCACTGAGACAGCGATTGAGACTGGGCATGGTGGTGGATGCCTATAATCCCAGCATTTAGGAGGCTGTAAACAGGAGAATCAATATGAGTCTGATCTACATAGTGAGACCCTGAACACCCTGTAGACCCTGCCCTAAATACAGAAAAAAAAAAAATTCATTAACCAAAACTCAACAGCTCTCCCATATGCCTATAAGGAACTCACCAAAAAAGAAACCAGGAAAACAATCCCAATCACAACAGCTACAAAAAATTAAGAACATAAGAATCAACCAAATAAAGGAAATGAACAACCTCATAATGAAAATTACAGAGCATTGAAGAGGACATTAGAAAATGGAAAGACTTCCCCCCACTACCCCCCGCCCCCAGGGCACGCTGAGAGGGTAATTAAGACTGGACATGGTGACAAGCGCCTGTAATCCTAGTGTTTGGGAGGCTGAAAACAGGGGGATCACTACGAATCTGATCTGTTTAGTGAGTCCCTATAGACCCTGGTTTTTTGGGGGTTTTGTTGTTGTTGTTGTTGTTGTTTTCCAGAACCAGGGATTGAACTCAGGCCCTTGAGCTTGCCAGGGAAGCGCTTATTCTACTGAGCCACCTCCCCGGCCCTTAGACCCTGTATTAAATACATTAAAAGAAGAAGAAGGAGGAGGAGGAGGAGGAAGAAGACAAGGAAGGAGAGAGAG